AATTCATAAAAGAAAGAACTTCGTGAGCAATGAGACTACTATCAGACGTCTGTCGGCCCAGAATAAAGGCATGCTGAAAATCCGAAACCAAGGTCGGAAGGACTTGTCTCAGACGAATAGTAAGACACTTCGAAATGCACTTGTATAGAACATTACATAACCCAATAGGACGAAACTGAGAGACCTGTTCTGGCCTATCCACTTTCGGTAGCAGAACCAAAAAAGTACGATTCCACTCCTTCAACAAGTAACCATGTGCAAAGAAAAATTGAACCGCTGCTAGAATATCCTTGTTAATATGCCATATTAATTTATAGGGCAAGATATGGGGGCAAGATTGTCAATTTATATGCTTGAATAAGGGTATAGATGTCAAGAAAAAGTTTGGCAGATATCAATTTCCCCTTCTAACTTAACGAAAACCCTTAAAATAAAGGGTGAAACAAAGGGTATGGTTAACCTTAAAGGGTAGGAATTTGTTTTCATCTTCAATATCTCCAATATAACTGACCATTGAAGGTTTCAATTTTAAAAGTGATGGGAGTGATAAACTGATATGGGGATGTTTGATTGTTTGCGAATGGAGGATGAGGGAAGTTGAAGTTGAGTATATTTTATTTTTATTTAATCACTTTTAATTTTGGAAGTGGTGTTAATTTTCTTCCCAAAAAAAAAAAAGTGATAATTCGGATCCTTGATTGGTATCAAGTTGGCCCACAATTGGGTTAAAAGTTTAAAACGAGACAATTTGGTCTTATGTGTCAAGTTATTATCAGCTTAAGTTGGTTATATTCCTACTTACATAATTAAGTTTGGTTGTTTAGGTCAAATTATACTGCGTATTTAGTTTGAATTAAAAATAAGTCGAGTTAAATTGGTTCATGCATTGTAAGGTGTAACAAATAACAAGTCATGTTGTAACTTCAAGCTTGTAACAAATTGGGTGAAATTGGATCAATTAGTAGCCACGACAAATCATCAATTATTTCTTGTATTGAATTAGTGTTAAGTTAGTTAATATTGGTGAGTCATTTATAAGTCGAGTATATTGCATGTCGAGTTGTCTTTGGGTAGGTTGTAGATCAAGTATGGGTCTTAGATATCAAGTCAAATCGAGTTTAAGTTAATTTAGGTTAGGTTAAATTAGGGTTTGTTTGGCATCACTGTGGTTTTCTGTTTTTTGGTTTTTGGTTTTTTCAAAATCATGTGATATATGTCATATAATGAATTGAAAATTAGTCAAATTTATTAAACTCATGGTAATTTTGAAAACTGACAATAAAAAACTAGAAACACCTTTTTCTTGTTTCCTGTTTTCTGGTTTTTTGTTTTCAAAATAACTGAAAACAAAAAACGATGTCAAACCAACTATAATGGTTGGAGAAATAAAATCATTAAATCCAATGTGACTCGTTTCATTCTCAAAGTTTTGACGATACATTTGGTAAGTAGTCTTAAATTGCATTTAATGATAAATTGCGTAAAATTGCAAGAAAAAATGATCATTACTAAGGCTGGCAAAAGCTTACCCTGTTGGGTTTTGAAAAGTCCGACTTTCCGCGGAACAAAACCCGACCCCAAGACTCGCTCATAATTAATATAACTAAAAGACATAAATAACAAGATAAAGTGAAAAGACAATATTACCCTTAATGCGTGCTTCTCTTGCTCCAACGAGCTCTTACTTTGAAAGCCGAGTCTCGCAAGCTCATAGACCTTCAATGATAGTCCACCCGCAACAACGACCTGAACGGTTTCTAACTCGGAGTTTAGCCGAGTTTGGACCAAAAACAACTACTCAAGTTTATGTGAACTTAAAGGTTTTCTCACTATTATGGAGATGCCTTTTTGAGTTCCAACTCAAGTGAAATTCATAAATCCCAGTACATGGGTATTTATAAAGAATTCTCACAAAACATTACATTCTCCCATCAATGTGGGGGAGTTGGTAAAAATCATTTTTCATTTTATTGTTAATTCAAAAACAAAAGAAAATTAGTAAAGCAATAATTAATCAACAAGTGGCAACAAGGAAGGAGAGGGTAGGTGAGGACCACAAGGGGGATCAAAGCCTTAATCCCCAAGCTTCCCCAAAACCGCCTCACACACTCCCCTCACCCGGACCCTATTACACGACACCACGTGGCACCCAGCCTTGGGCACCAAGGCATGCCCAGCTGGCGGCCTTGTGCTCGGCTGGACCTGCACTTTTGCTTATGTGTGCGAGTTGCTCAATGCCTCGGCCCAACAAACCACGCACAGTTGCGGGCTGCTAGCCGTGGCTTCTTGTGCACCTACTGCTAGCAATGATAGCACGCTAGCGCTCCTAGCTGTTGCGCGCGCTAGCATGCTTGCTAGCATTGGCATGCTTGCTAGCATTGGCATGCTTGCTAGCATTGGCATGCTAGCATGCCACGCAACACACCAGCCAGCACTACTAGTAGGCTCGGCTTGGTGCGGCGCGCATGCTAGCTGCCATGCTAACACCACTTTCCCATGCTAGCACCACTTGCCCCTAGCACTCGGTTTGCTCAGGGCATTCCAATGCTAGGGGTATTTTGATAATTGTTGATTAATTAATTGATTTTTACCGTCTTATCTTTTATTAATTCGACTCGACTAGTGACCCTCGGTCTCGACGCTCCTAGCTCGATTTCCGACATCTATGCTCATAATACTCGAGCGACTTATTAATTCTTTTCGAATTAATTCGCCGTTTCGGATCATTAGTTGCTTGGGTGTGACCCGAAGGGTTCAGTCAAGATTCAATTGTAATATTAATTATACATTAATATTACAGATCGGAAACGACTTCTAATTAGGCATTCCGATCACTTGACATCACTGAATAATTAGCTTTCTAATAATTATGAACCTTGGAATAATAAACTTGTTTGAAGAACACCATTCCTATCAATCTCCCACTTGTCCTTCCGGACAAGTGCGCCTTTTGTGTATAGCTTATTTCCTATGTTACTTAATGTCTCTTCATGAACTATAAGGTAAGATTATTCGTCATCCTTATTAAGTCCAGAAGTGTTTCTCGAAATCCGAGTTTGATTGTCAATAGGCAGATGAGTGAAGATGTGTAGATGTCGATCTAGAAATTAAAGGGGCCTCCGAAGCTCCAACACTTTATGTGAAGTGCTGTGAAGGGCAATTTGGCAGTAAAGGAGAGGTTACGCCAACTTCATATCGTGAATGAGAGCTTGTGTCAAATTTGTGCTACGTTGGAAGGGTCTGGGCGCCGGCGCGGGGGATTTCAGGCGGAGACGGAGGTGGGTGGTTCTGGGAAAGTCAGGATGGTGGTGCAAACGATGGTTGTGGGTGGGGCTGGGTTTTTGTTTGATTATTAAAGTTTTTTTTTAATTTTTAATTTTTTTTAAAAAATTTCAACCATACATGTGATGACACGTGTTACCGTAACTTGTTATAACAGGTTGGTGTTCGGTTGGGACCATTTTGATTTTTGAGCAAATGAACCTCACAATTCAGATTATTTAAAAATAATCCAAAATTGAAATTATTTGAACGAATCGGCAAAAGTTGAGATTATTTTTATCAATTTTTCCTAAAAAAATTTGCTTTTATAATTTAATTTTCACATGTTTCAAGAATTATTCAAATTTAAAAGTGGAAGAACAAAAAAAAAGGTTATTTATCTTTCTTTTGAAAAACAATATCACATAAGATTACAACAAAATCATACCAATAATTAAAAGATATAACAAAATCATACATTTGTATTTTAGAGATATTTGGATTTATCTTACAAGAATTCTCCTTTAGAATTTCCCATTATTCTTTTTTTTTTTCCTTTCCTTTTTCATAAAGCTACTCATCCAAATAGTTCATGATATCACCTTTTCTTTTTTCATTTTATTTCCTTAATAATCTAATTTTCATTCTTCACTCCTCTCACTTTCCATTTTTGCTTTAGGAAGCTACATCCCCCTTTCCCCTATTTCCAAACGTTTTCTAAATCCTTAAGATATTTAATTATCTCCAAAATCATAATTAAATAGATAAACTCATAACCGCGTACTGCACGTGTCTGTAATTTAGTATCCTTACTGATTTTTCTAATCAGTAAAATTACATCATTCTAATCCTGATTTATTCCCTTATTTGTTTAACCAATAGTACTTTATCATTAATAACAACAGGATTTCTCATGTGATTGTTTCATATATTAACCCATTTTAGCACTAATTACTTAATTAGATTTTGTTTTTATTGTCAAAGTCATTCATTTTACTTTGACTAATCTTTGTAAGATAACTAATTAAGAGTTAATTCTATTTACTTAATTCTCACTTATTTCAAGTGTGATGAGTTCGTTTTGAAAAAATAAATTTTGATAAGGATTAATCAATTACAAATTACAACTAAAATAAATTTTCAGAAAATCAGATAGGTTTAGATAAGATAGGATAAATTTAATTAGATACGTAAAATCGGGTGAATAAAGCACACACAAATACATACAAGTACTCCGTATTAACTTAAGCATCACCTCTTTTTTTTAATGTTCTTTTTACATTATTAGGAGTATCATTTATACATTGTACATACTAAGACATATTAATAAACAAACACATATTTAAAGATGATAGATTAAGAGTAAAGAGAGTACTTTCAACGTAATGACATCTATAAATGTACAAGGAACTGATTGTCAACCCGGTCCACATAAAAACCGAGTAATTAAAAAATGAAAATGAACAATAAAAAGAAAGGAATCAAGATATGGTCATACATGAGTCACAATCGGAGACACTGGAATCTTCCTTCAACGCATTCACACTTCTTCACACGCTTCCCTTTCATTTTTGTTGCATATAAATTCCCCTCATTTTCTCTCTCCTTCAATTCAACTCTATCTTTCTCCGTTCACATTTCTTTGCGCTCTTAATTTCCATCTTTCTCCATTTCATTCAAATAAATTCAACTCTTCTTTACTTTAATTTATATAATCAATCTCATCAATTTTATATCGCATGGAAATTTCTTCATTCCCTTTCGACGATTTATCTCAGTTTTACCCAACACCTTATCCTAAAATTGCAGCTAATTCTCCCGTTGATTCTTCTCCGTTGAAAAAACAGAGATCTGAAAGCGAGAGTGTCGATTTTTTCTTAAACAATACGGATACGGGTACGATTAAGGATATCCTCGCCTCCGTTCTTATGTTCGGAGACGAGGATGATCAGAACCATTCCCATTCTCAACCCGGGTTCGGAATATAAATGGTTTCCGAAAATTACCATTTTACCCTTACTAATGAAAATCAAATTCAAAACCAAAACCAAAATCAAATTCAAATTTAGTCGACTGAAGCAGCAGTAACAGGAGTAGTTGCTACTGCTGCTCAGCCGAAGCGAGGATTGGAACGCTCTCACAATGCGGGTCAATCCTCGGCACCAGCACCAGGACCGGCGGTGAACCGAAGAATGTGGGTGAAGGATCGATCGAAGGACTGGTGGGATAAATGTAGTCACCCGGATTATCCAGACGAGGAATTCAAGAAGTCGTTTCGAATGAGTAAGGCTACGTTCAACATGTTATGTGAAGAACTCGACCCTCTTATTAACAAAAAAGATACAATGCTACGAGCTGCGATCCCGGTTCGTCACCGGGTCGCGGTCTGTATTTGGAGACTCGCAACAGGCGAACCGCTTCGAGAAGTATCGAAGTGGTTCGGCCTGGGAATATCCACATGCCACAAACTCGTACTCGAAGTTTGTACCGCCATAAGAAATACGCTAATGGCGCGTTTTCTTCAATGGCCTGACGACACTAAATTGGACGCCATCAAAGAGGAGTTCAAGTCAAAAACCGGAATCTCGAATGTGGGTGGTGCTATCTACACCACCCACATTCCGGTTATAGCACCAAAGGCCAACGTTGGTGTGTACTTTAACAAGCGCCACACCGAACATAACCAAAAGATGAGTTACACCGTAACACTACAAGGAATGGTGGATCCTAGAGGGATATTCACCGATGTTTGTATCGGGTGGCCGGGGTCATTCTCCGATGAACACGTGCTAGAGAAATCGGCCTTGTTCAAGCGGGCGAGTCGCGGCTTGATGAAGGATATGTGGATGGTGGGGAACTCAAGCTATCCGTTAATGGATTGGATGTTGGTACCGTATAGTCACCAAAACTTAACTTGGGCACAACATGCTTTTAACGAGAAAGTTGGGGAAATTCAAAAAGTGGCAAAAAACTCATTTTATAGACTAAAGGAGAGGTGGGGTTGTTTGCAAAAAAGGACCGAAGTTAAGTTACAAGAGTTGCCTATTGTACTAGGTGCTTGTTGTGTTCTTCATAATATTTGTGAGATGCGGAAGGATGAGATTGTGGATGATCCCGGGAACTCGTTCGAGCTTTTCGACGACGAGGTGTTGCCGGAGAATGTTGCGAAGTCGTCTACGGCGGTCCAAGCTAGAGATCAAATTGCTCATCATTTGTTGCACCATGGCCTTGGTGGCAACACTTTTCTATAGCTTTGTGTTAGAATCCAACTCCTTTTGATGTATTAGATTCCATTTAAGTGCTTTCCTAGAGTTTAGGTTATGTTTTCTTAGCTTGAGGTCCCATTATTGTGTTACTGTCAGATCAGTGTTCACTAGGGATTCTCCTTGTATGTCATTTAAAGCTCTTTAGAGGGCGAATGATTAATGAAATCTTAAAGCCTTCTACCAAGTGTTGTCTTGCTTTTATGCTTGTTTGTTGTTAGACCTTTATAGATATTGTGTCTTACTTGCATATTAGCTCCCCTCCAACCCAACTTGATGCGCTAAGGACTCGTGGTTCGGACCCGCTTGTGCCCGCTTTGAAGTACCGGCCGTCACAAGCCCCGACCACCCGCACTCCGTCGCCCAGATAGACGTGAGTGCTCCTGAGATTCTATTGCTCGCTTGTGTTGCTTTGTGCTCACAAGCCCCTCTTCCGCTCAAGGCTAGCGTTCTTGCCGCCAAAAGGCTAGAGCGCGCCGCACGTTTCGGGGTCCAAACTCCCGGACTGTGACACTTTGGCTAAAGTTTTTTCTTATATTTATGTCATTTATACAGTTATGTTAGAGAAATCAAAGGAATAGAAAATAGGAATGTAGGTGGGATATTGAAGTGATGTAATTGGGATTTGGGTGTATACAATGTATTAAATCGATTATGTTACATTACTTTATAAAAATTTACCATATTCAATTCACAGACATACTATGTTGTTTTATTGTTAATTTGCTAATTCATGTGTCTCATTAATTAAATCATCTGTCTCATTAATTTGATTATGTGTCTTAATTGCCTTAAAAAAAAGTGTCTTAATTACTTAAGCACCAAAACTTACCTTCAAAGTATACTACTGTTTACGTGGGCTAAGCTTGCTGGGCTTTTGAATTGCATATTACTTGAACACAAATTTGTAAGTGAATTGCATCAATTGATCAAATTTACTGATTTATGTGGCATTAAATAAAATATTATTGCCACACGCCCACATTACAGACTTTTACAGTACAATTATTCTACTATACTTCATACGAGTATCTAATATTGTTCCAGTTTCAAATAAAATACCCTAATTTGACTGGCACATTTGTTAAAGAAAAACTTTGACCAAAAATATTTTTACGGAGTAATTATTACTAAGTATAAATTACAAGAGTTTAAAATGTTGTCATTCGAAAACTAACTTATAAAGTTATAAAACAATAACGAAGGTCAAAGTAACGAAATGTGAATGGTACAATAGTCAAAGTAGAACATTTATAATGAAATGGAGTAGATCAATCTATATGTGTGTGTTGGGGGGGTTTGGGGGGGTCATATTAGAGTGTCCTACACTCCTACTAGTGTCGGTGTCTGACACGGTGTCCAATATGGACACGACAGTTGGATGAAGTGTCCATTTATCCTATGTGTCCTTGTATCCTATGCATCCTATGGTCATAATATAGATGATTTTCTTTCAATAATGCATTTCAATTCATTTATGATATAAAATGGCTCACATCTACGGTAAGTTAACATCCTTTAAATTTCTTTATCAAATGACAATTTTATAAATAAATCAATAATTTTTTCCTTAAAATTATGTTGAACAGTACGTTGCTATGTACTCCTTCTGTTTTTAAATATTTGCTCAATTTCTTCATGCACAGAGTTTTAGGATAAATTAGATAAAGTAATAAAATATGGAGGTAGTAACTAGTAGGGTAGTTGAAAAAATAAAAAATTGTAAAAAGCAAAAGTAGCGAGAAAATAGGTGGAGATAGAGTATTATGTTTGGTCCACTAAGTATGAGAAATTAATTAAATATTGTAATAGCTTTCCAAAAAAGGAAATAGAGCAGCTATTTAAAAACAGTCGGAAAAGAAAAGCGGAACAAGTATTTTAAAAACGAAGCAAGTAATTAAGAAGATGTTTATTATTTATGCACCCGAATTTTAACTTCTCTACACTTATCTTAATGATATTTCTTACCTTATCTTAATAATAATAATTTTATTTAGTCTTTTTTGAACTAACTCATTAGACCTTGTTAAGATTTCTTTTAATAGTGATTTGGACTTGACTGGCCCTTTTAATTCATATCATAACTTATTTCCTTAAATTTAGAACATATCTTGGCTTATAGACATTAAATAAGTGATACAGTCCATTTTATGTACGGTTGGCCACATCATGTGACCGGTTGTAAATGAACAAAGTAATTCCTATAACACTGACCCAATCACCCTTGTAACACTGATCAAGTAACCCTTGTACTATTGAAGAAGTAATCTATATAACACCGATCGAGTAATTTATATAATACTGACGAGTAACCCCTGTAATACAAAGGTGACGTAATAAAAGATGCTTGCATCACATGACAAACAAACACAACAAACTAATGAAAAGAACCGCGTACATACGATACACGACTTGGATAAATATAGCAAGATACAAGGCCAATAATGTTGCATAACATGTGTAATGTGTTAAAGACTTAGGGCTGTTCTCTTACGTTGAAATTCAGTTTAGTTCAGTTTAGTTCAGTTCAGCTCAGTTTAGTTCAGTTCAGCTGAGTTCAGTCAATGAAAACAGACCCTTAATGTTTATTATACCAATACTTGTTTTTTGCCACTATTAAAATTTCGGCTGTCAAACAAAACGGTCACCTGTTTACACCTACACCTTAACTTCCTCATATCCCAAATTCATTGTTTTTTGGGGTTTGAATTTTATTTATTTAGTCAAATAGTTTAATTAGTCAATATCCGTAGTACGTTTTTTTTTTAACGTCGTACTATTGCATTGCATAATTAATTATTGTCATTTATGGTTGATAATCACATGAAGTTTCTCTTAGTTTGGAGCCCACTTTTATGGTGTTATTGTTAATTTGTTATTCCTTCAAGAATTGCTTGCAAACAGTTTGACAGTTCGGGTTCGGTTCGGTTTGAAATCGGTTCGACATTAAATCAGGTCGGTTCGAAATTGGTTTAAGTGTCTTGCGGTTCGGTTCCAGTTCGGTTTAAATAGTGATCGGTTCGATTCGGTTTCGGTTTATTCTTGAGCGGTTTTAATTCAGTTCGGGTTGTAACCAGTCCGGGTAGTAAACGGTTCGGTGCAGGCAGGTTACAGTTTGTTAACGGTTCGGTGTAAACGGTTTTTATCCCGGTTCAAATAGTTTCGGGTTGGAAATGGTTTAGGGTGAAAAACAGTTCGGTTCTTTTTCGGTTCAGTTTAAAACTAGTTCGGTTCTTTTTTGGTTCAGTTTATAATTGATTCGGTGCTTTTTCGGTTCAGTTTATAACTGGTTCGGTTCTTTTTCGGTTCAGTTTATGGCAGGAGGATTTTTAGTGGCAGGAAGATATTTTATACTATGATAATAAATTTTCAATAAATATTAATTTGGCAGGAAGAATTTTTGTACTATGATAATTAAATTTCAATTAAAATACCTTTTAACTTGATTTTAATATTCTCTTTATAGTGAGCAGTTTGTAGCCGATTCGTTTATAAGCGGCCTGGTTCATAAACAATTCGGGTTGCAAGCGGTTCGGTTTATAAATAGTTCGGTTTATATACAGTTCGGTGCAAACGGTATGGGTCGCGAGTTGTTAACGGTTCGGTGTAAACGGTTTTTATCCCGATTCAAACGGTTTCGGGTTGAAAGCGGTTTCGGGTTAGAAACAGTTCGGTTCTTTTTCGGTTCGGTCTGATTTCAGTTCGATTTAAAACTGGTTCGGTTCTTATACGCTGTAACTAGGGGTGGGACTTTTCAAACCGAACCGTGAAACCGCCCGTTACCGAACCGAACCATCACGGACCGATCCGTTTATAAACCGATAAATATAAACCGAAAACCGAACTGAACCGTTCAATATCAAACCGAAACCGAATTGAACCGCTGAATGTCAACCCGTTACGGACCGTAAACCGATAACAAACCAAACTGCGCAAATCCGAACCGAAACGAAACCGAACCGAATGGTTTATAAACCCGTTAATGACCCGAACCGTTTATAAACCGAAACCGTTTAAACCGAAAAAAAACCGCTTAAACCGAACCATTTGTAACCCGCTACCCGTTTAAACCGACCCGTTTATGAACCGAAACCGTTTAAACCGCACGTATAAACCGAACCGTTATAATCCGCTAACCGTCTAAACTGAACTGCCATAACCCGTTAAGCCGTTAAAATCGAACTGTTTTCGAATCGTAACCTGTTTAAACTGATCCGATTACAAACTGCTTAATTCAAATTGAATTATTTACAACCTAAATGGCTAAATAGTAAATACAATTAATGTTAATAAATGTAGATCTAATCAAACGGCGTAGGATTATACAAAGGTTTATATCACCTAGATCTAGGCCAACGGCATTATTAATATCGTTTCAGATTACTTATTTATTTTAATTACAAGATATATCATTTGTATCATTTTCATTCCAGTAATAATGCTAGTCCACCTAAATTATCTTCATTGTTCCTTCATAAAGATATTCATGATCATCCAATAACACTCAAAGCCTCAAAGGTAACATAAGATTGGAGATGTATGAGATTGCGTTACACAAGTGGTATAAGCATTAGAATAAGGCGTACAATCATTCACATTATCACTTTATAAAACTTTCTTATACAAGTATTTTGTAAAGGGGAGGACTAAAATGTTTATAAAACACATTTTTTTAGCTTTTCTTAAATTAAACCAGATATTAAGTAAAAGAATTTTAATAAATACAGAGGCATCCCAAATCTGTAGCCACAATTATTTCATAACATTACCACAAATCCAGCAGATAAATAGCATTAAAATTAGAGTAATATCAACAAGCAATTAAAAAAAGTCACCATTTTCATTAATTAAAATTCACAATACATATACCAATACATAATGAAACTACTATCACTACTACCCAGATTAGATTTCAGATTTATCAACTGAAACATCATCAAGTTTAGGGTTGCAAAAAATGATACATGATAAGATGAAAGGAGGAGTGA